AGTTGGAGAATCCCTTGATGTACTACTGTAAGTATCGCACAGAAGATGTTACTTGTGGATATCGTTCAACTTAAAAAATAATAACTTCAGTATTTTCTTGACCAATCTGGCATTTTTAATAATACAGAAAATCTATTGCAATAGATTTTCTCTATAAGAAAATACTGAGGTTGTTAATTACTGCTGGCGATTTGAAGAATATTCTTATTAATTAGGAAATAATATTTATTAGTCTAGTAATTTTTATTATTTTCCGACCAAGTCCTTAAAGTGTTTTAAAATAAAATGAAAAGAAGATTAATTAGCGACTTACCATTTTTTAGTATGCTTGTCGACCGTCGATCGCCGTTCCAGAGATCGCTTTCTAGAGTCCAACCAGCAGATATCGGTCTTGGTGGAGAAATTCAAGGTGGATGGAGTACTTTACATGAAAGAGGGCCCGCAAATACCGCACAGCATGAAAGATACGGCCCTCGGCATCATGCACAAGGGTTTAGGACGCGGAATCAAGCCTGGATGCTTCTCCACTCTTCTAGCACTGTATCTGTGAGTTCATTTACGAAAGTGAAGTCTCACGTTATTTAAATAAAATTAAGACTTGATTAGAGTAGCAAATTTTTCAAATTGACAATTCTAGCGAACTTTATAACATTCAATATTATCTTGGCATCGATATTATCTTGGCATCAAGTGTGTCTTGAAAATTATTATAACGTTAACCGTAGAAGCTATCGCTAAAATTCAGGTCGACAGTTTTAGGATACCTTATTAATCATTCGCAATCGTATTGTTACATTTAGACGAAGTATGGCGGCTACATTCTCGTTCAATAAGATCGGCCTGGGACACTTTGCCGCTCGCCTGCTGTTACTGCCGTTCGTGGTTGCTCTAATGAGCATACTGTACTCGCATTCAAGTCCCGTACAATCGAGAATTTTCTTGCAGACCGGTGGCTTGATCTTCAACGTCTTGACGTTGTTCTACGTGGCCGGGATAGCCGCGACGTCGCTTTTGTGTAAGTCGAAAGGCAGATTGATCAAGAAGAACAGACAACAGGTGGTTTCGATGTCACCAGTTGATGTCACAATATCGCAGACCTCGAGTTTGAAGATATTCGAAGAATATTTAAGACTTTTTGAATTCTTCTCTATTACTGTTCCAAATATGTGTTCTTCCGATCTACAGCATTCAATTACATAAGAGTTGATACAGTTCCAGGTTTTCGTGCAAGGTATTACCAGGAAAAGCGAGAGGGTCTTTACGGTGGCGCGATGTTCCTGACCGCGTACACCATGCTGAGTCTTCCGTTGAGCTTCATATCGACGCTGATAACGATCGGGATCCTGATTCCCATTCTGGAGCTAGACCTCACCTCGTGGGCGTACGCTTCCGGTATACTGTGGTCCAGTTACGTGGCGGCGGAGCAAGTGACGGTAGCCGTGTTGATGGTGGTCGGTAGGCCCGTAATTGGTGCTGTTACGGTACTGTACATGACCCTGCTGTCCCTGGTGGTCGCGTCGGGCGCGATTCGCAGCCTGAAGAACTTGCCCTATTGGTTGGCGATGGCGACGACGGCGTTGCCGACCAGATACACGTCTCTGGCGCTCAACCAGCTGGTCATTGACACCTCCATCCTGTCCAATCTGCCCTACAACGAGAGCTTCACCTGTCCTGGCGTACCTGAGCTCTGCAGGTACCCTGACGGCAAGACTTACCTGATAGAACGCTTCACCAGAGAGGGCGAGAACATTTCCGAGGTGTTAAACGTGGATCTGAATCTGCTGATCTCTCTGGCGTTCGCCGTCGGTCTTATTATATTGAACAGCGTCTTGTATCTGTTGCCGCTACCCGCCAGAGTGAAGGCGAAGTTCAGAGAATAATAAATTGTTGATGCATTAATGCATTGAATCCACACTTAATGTAATCGTTGAACGAAATTCAAATACTTGGATTTGACGCCGTCTGGATAGCGTACGTATCATACTTATTTAATTTAAATTTTTACTGTATGTGTATAAAATTGTAAATAAAATTAGAAATATCGATCATAGAAAAGAAGAACGCATATCAAAAATATTAAAACTTTTTATTTTATAGAATATGTTATAAAATCATTTTATACATATAACGTGATTTTGCTTGCTTGCGTGACACATCATAAATCATTTTGATAGTTTACAAGTCAAAATATATGTACATTTTAAAAACGAGTTAACTATTGTGTACAATATAATGCATTTAATATGACAAATAGTTAATCACGCATTAACCGTACTTTACTGGATAACTTAAACGTTATATTACATTAAAAATATACAGGTATATTTATAGAAAACAGGCGTGTCAACCGAAACGTAACTATACAACAGTTCTATTTATTTTTTAAATTGCACACTTATAACTTGTGAAATATATTAAAAAATTACTTTCAGGCAACCATCATTGAATGATCATATCACATATCACATTTATAACCTGCGAGATATATTACAATTCATAAGTCCTCATCTGTAACTTGGCCCATCTCCTTAAGATCGTCGGCAACACTGAATTCACAGCCCGTCGCACTGACGACGGCGCTAATGTCAACATTATGTGCGATCTCAATGAGCTTTAATCCTTCTCCTTTCACCACTTCAAATACCCCGAGATCTGTGATAATTAAATCTACACACTGTTGACCTATGAAAAAATGTAAAAAAAAAAGAAGTTATCACGCACATACAATGACTAGAAATAATACAAAAATATTACAAAATGATTAACTTTAAAGGGTATCGACGTTACATAACGAAATAGCAAAATAACGCCTACGATAAAATTAAGAAATTGCTGAAATTAAAGTATTACAGGTTGTTACCTGTGACGGGCAGTGTGCAGTTCTTCAAAATTTTCGGACTTCCGTCTCTGGCTGTATGTTCCATAGTTATCACCACCTTTGTACTCGCCGCGGAAACGAGATCCATAGCACCACCCATGCCTTTTACCATTGTGCCCGGTATCATCCAGTTAGCCAAATCCCCGTTCTCCGACACTTGCATGCCTCCAAGAATAGTCAGATCAATGTGGCCTCTACATGAAAAGTACAATTGGTAGATACACTTTCTTTGATGTGTTATATATTTGTTATCGTAGAAACATGCTAATCTTAAAATAACAATCTTATACCCTCTAATCATGCCGAAACTCTCGTCGCTGCTAAAGAAAGCAGCGCCGGGCAAAATCGTCACAGTTTCCTTTCCAGCATTGATAAGATCCGCGTCGACGTCACTTTCGTCCGGAACAGGGCCCAGCCCGAGAATACCGTTCTCTGATTGCAACGTCACTTTCACACCCTTCGGGATGTAGTTGCTGGCAAGCATGGGTATGCCGATCCCCAGGTTTGCTGCAAACATTTCCGGTTTATCAGGAGCGCGGCACTGATGAGAGGACTTGATTATTTTAATCACGATGCACTCATTTCCAATCCAAATATTTAATATAAGTTTGTACTTCACACCTACCGTACATTCCATCCTTGAATTCGAGAGCAGCGCGCCTGATAATCATATCCCTCGATTTGCTAGCCGGTGTCACTTTCTTAGGCTTCATGGTTTGTTTCGTAGAGCGTTTCTGCCAAACGGAAAGGAAAAGATTATATGTATTTATACGACATTTGCATAATTATGCATAAATATGCATAACGAGCGGTCGAGACAGAAAAGCGCCAACCTCAATCCGTTTCTCGTAAGACGGCCCCTTCACAATCCTGTCCACGAAAACGCCAGGCAAATGAATCTGATCGGGATCCAATTGGCCAAGTTGCACGATCTCCTCCACCTCGACGATCGCGACTGCGGCCGCCTTGCACATGACGGGGTTGAAGTTCCTCGCCGACTTACGGAAGACCAGATTGCCGGCGGTGTCGGCCTTCCACGCCTTCACCAGCGCGAAGTCGCCAGTGATGGCGGTCTCCAGCACGTAGTTTCGCCCATCGAACTGGTTCACGCTCCGCGGCTCGCCCGATATCTCGGCGTCGCCGTTCTTGTCGTACTTGACGATGACGTTGCCCTCCTGTACGATGGTGCCGAAGGCCGTGGGGGTGTAGAAGGCCGGGATGCCGGCGCCACCCGCTCTGACACGTTCCGCCAAGGTACCCTAAGTGAGTCGTTGTGCAATTTATTAAACATTTACGAGACTCACGGCACATTTCTCGTCCTCAGAGCGTTACCTGCGGCGTCAGCTCCACCTCCAACTGGCCGTTGAGATACTGCCTCTCGAATTCAGGGTTCTCGCCCACGTACGACGCGATCATCCTTTTGATCCTGTGCTCCTTCAGCAATATACCCAGCCCGAAGTCCTCCACCCCGGCATTGTTCGAGACTACCGTTAAATCCTTAGAGCCCCTTTTCAGCACGGCTGCTATCAAGTTCTCTGGGATGCCGCAGAGACCGAATCCACCGACCAGCAGCTTAGCCCCGCTGTGTACATCGGACACAGCTTCCTCCACGCTTTTGAACACTTTACCGTTTCCCACCGGTGTTTTCGGCTTCTCCGCCACTTGCTCCGCTACTGGGATATTTGCCTTGGTAGAGAAATTAGCGACGCACACCTGCGAAACAAGATTTCCGTTAGCTCTAAAAACTATTTCAATGTCGGCCTTCGCTTTTCCAAGTGTATTTCACTGCAGCAAAAGGTACGAAGTACATATTCAAGAATGTATACATGTAGAATATTTTTTAAAAATTCATATCACTAAGATAATCGGACGATTTGCCGAAACAAGCAATTCAACGCCAGGGGACATAACTTGCACGGTATAATGTTACATGAAAAACACATACCGCGGATCGAGTTGCAATCCAACAAATAGAGAACGAGGACTCTTTCCGGCAGGTCTATCAGACATATTGTTTACGCACCCGTGACACTCTGGTGGAGGCCCGGGGGCCGCTGCTCCAGCGCAGAAATACACCGCTGACCCCTCTCAACGCGAATGCCATGGTCACCGTATGCTAAGCACACAATCGTTACTCGCGAGACTCGCGCGGGTCCGTCGGCATCGGAGGATTCGGAGGTTAGGGCGAGACACCACTCGCTCCGATATCGCTGCGTCGATTCTCTTCCTCGCGCGGCTTGCTCGTCTCGAGAAGTAACTGCGTACCCTCCGGTGTTGGACCCCTCGCTGTGCCGTCCGTCCCGCAGCGATCGCCCGAGAATTTCGCGCCGCGAGAGCCAACCTAACTTCACACTGAACATGCACGCACGGAGGCGCGTACGGGTGACTGGGCGAAACGAGCGCGCGCGTCGGCATTTCATTTCAATTCGAAGCCGCGCGATCAGGAACGTATTAAGCTCGTAAAACGATTTCAAGGGCAGTGCAATTTCAAGCTTAATATCTTCGAGTGCGTCTTTTCAAATTTAACTTTTTAGTTGCGGAGATAAAGGCGCGACTGGCGTCGATATTATTTTTGTGAAGCTGCTGAATTTTAAAGCGCCGACGCCTTTTCTTCTCTCGAGGCGCCGAATCGTTGTAAAGCGGGTGGTCTACGTTATTGCGAGATACGACTTCGCCGAGTGAACGCGTGTTTATCATGTTTACATCGTTTCGCAGCGAGGACGTCAGCTTTTAAACGATTAAGCAGATAGTAGATATTGATCTGAATGAGGGACGATAGCAGAGATGTCATCCTCTTTAAATTGCGCTCTTTGATACACGAAACGAAAGCAATTAATTAATTGCGTGAATAGATGCAAATGAATTTCAGCCTTTTTAGCGCAAACATAACGATGAAGAAATTAATGCTCTTATTTGTTACATCAACGTATTTAACACATTAATTCTTATAGATTAAATTATATATTATAATATTACGCGTGAAAACTCGCAAAATGCAACGTTCCAATTAATTTTAATAAACCCAACGTTAATTGAAACCTGACCGTTTGCTGTTCTACATATAACAACAGCCTTGTTGCGCAAAATGAACAAAAAAGCTTTTGTTCCTTCAAATTTGTTCTTTAAAACACTTCAAACCGAATCTATTCTTCAGGATACGGCCTGTTGCGTTGCATATGTATAGCCGCAAATAGTGTTTCAACAGAAGACTGATTTTTCCAATATCGCATCGTTATCTTTACCAGATAGCGAGTGCTCTGGAGAGAACGACGGTATTACATTCTATAAATAACGATATCAGAACACTCGCTCGTACCCCGTATTTATCCGGCATGTGCGCGGAATTAGCGAAAATCGTGCGTTTGTTACAAAGACTTTATTTCTCGGGACTAAATATAATATAATAGCTTCTCGCGCGCTCACGTCATGTGAGCTTATAACATACATATTTATTAAAATATATTCATCTATTCTTACTCCTGTAGCGTAACATTTTCCGAATGCTCCGCGAAGAATGTTAAAGTGTCTTATACGACATCTAGAGAAAACATAAATTCTTGAGAGATTTGGAAATTATTAGAGACGGTTTTATGACGTCTCGAAGGCTTTTACGTGGCATCGCCTTTTATATTTTCTAACCAAGTCAAAAGTAATTACGCGAGAAACACGTTAACAAGAAGAAACCCAGATAGCAATGCGTGTCTAAAAGACGTCATAAAGACGACATAAAGATATCTTTAAGACCTCTTTTAGACGTGCATATCTAAAAGACAACTTAATGTCGTCTTAAAGATGTCGTTAATTAGACATGAATGCTATCTGGGAAGACGCGGACGTTTAACAAATCGCATATCAATAACTTTTATATTTACATATTTTTATTTGCGACCTGTCACTTATTATACATACATTATTGATATACATATGTGTATATGTATACATATGTATATATTATCTATTATAATGTATGTATATATAAATATATATTATAATAGATAAAGATTTTTATCAATAGCACAGTTATGTAAATATAAAATTGACATGGCATTTTATCAAATTCTATTTCAGTCTCAACTTAGTCCCATTCTTGTTAACGTATTTCCGCAGAGTTTCACCTTAATTACGCGTGTCCAAATGTGGTGACACCAAATAATGAAAAATACTCTAGTGTCAGATTAGAACTCTGAGAAGTTTTTAAAGACATCTTTGAGACACGCCTGTTGGACACGCCTGTTGTTTGAATGTCGATGAGTACTAATGCGACTCGAGAAATAATATCGTCGACATCGATACCAATGCAATGACGTCATCTGATAACGCCAGTCAACATGTTTATGCTTTAGTTCGAATAATTAATACTAATTGTTGTTTTTCGCAGGTCGATATTGATTTGAATAAGCAGGATCGTATTGCACTCACGAGGAAATCGAGATCGGTGTTTTACAATACAAAGGGGACAAAGAATTTTGCGGTACAGCTTAACAATATTTTTTAAATATAACCCTTTAAGACGATATCTTACGAATAATATTGACGTTCACTTCTCGCCGTCGAGGCAAATGAAGAAAGCCTTATCGTCAATTTTCAGCGCAATCTAAGTAAAAAGATTCCTTTCGTGTTCTCTCTTTCTCCAATTTAAGCCTACGCTCTTGCCATATGACACAATGTGCAATGTAATACGCGAAGTAATGCAGATTTCAGCCTACATCTTCGCCGCGCGTTAAGGACCGAATACGCCGAGTGCTCGAGACTTCCGTGGAGAGTTTGAGTTCATTTTGTTACTTTTGGAAATTAAACAGATTTAGAAAAGGAATCACGACTGACACTAAACGCACGCCCACGAGTGAAGGCTGGTTTATGCAAGGCCGTAACTGTAAAATTATATCGGAATCGGTAAAAATTGTCCAATCGCCGTTAAAAGTGAAGAGAATGGTCGACTGTATTGGTTAATTTTTACCGTTTTCGGCATAAGTTAACGGTTACGGCCTTGCGTAAACCAGCCTTAAACCTCTGAATCAAGGCAACACGAGAATGTCGTTTCAATTAGAAAATCACTCCGTTGTTCGTTCACAGATAATCTCGTCCAGTCAGCAAAACGTTAGCAGATTGGCAGCAGATTTATCAGAAGCCCACACCAAAACCATAGGCACCTGTGCCCGCATTTGGCTTTTGTTTTGGCAACAGAGTCTGTAAAACATACGCTGACAACAGATTGTCGGCAGAAATCGAACAGGTCTAGTTATGTGAGCAGATTTTGTTGTATTTCTGCTGACACGCTGGTAACATGTCGAATATATCAGTTCTTGCATGCAATCTGCAGTCTTTCTGCTTTCAAAATTTTTAGTGGGCATTTGACGAAATCTGTCCTGGCAGATTTGGCTATCTGGGTCCATCACTCGACGTACGCGGTGCCGATTCGTAATCTCGTCGTCGGTCCTCGCGTCATCGGTGCCGGCCGGCTCTGGCATCCGTCACGGCGCCCCATAACTCGATCACAAACTCGTCGGTGAAACCAAAGTCCTCCAAGTCGGAGTTGTCTATCGCCTCGGCGAAGTCTATACTGTTGCATTTACCCTCGGCCAGCTCCCAGATTTGCGTGGCTGCACAAGGAATCAGATGTAACAATTTAACATCAGTCTTTGGTGAAGTAAGAAAAACAAGAGATAGAGAGAATATATCCAAGAACGATATAACTTCATCAGAAGAACTATACTTTGTTGTTACATTCGCTTGTGACATAAACCTTGTATCGTATCCAGATCAAACTTACCCAACTCCGTATCGGAGATGCCCATGAAGCTCTCCAAGATAGTGTTGATCTTCTCGACGCCTATCACAGCGGCATCATCGATCTGCGCAAATATTTACGTTCTCAATTATCGCTTCGCTCATTCATGGGAAAGGAGATATTATATATCGAAGTATCAATACCGAAGGTGGTAGAACAGAGGTAGCTGATACTTGGTTCTTTCACTCGCGTGTTTTCATAGACCAACGTTATCGGAAAGACATCACTCCCGATAGTATTGTCTATTTGCTTGCCTCGCGAGTTCGTCACTCGACCGTAATCTTATTTAGTCTCTTATTTCACACACCTGCTCTACGATCTGCGCGCTACCGTCGGCCTTGAATCTCAGGGTCTCCTTGCCGGATCCGTAGCCGGCCTTCTTTCCCCTCTTGAGGTCACCGCGCGGCCCGATGCTGCCGAAGCCGTTCTTCTGCGGCTCCACCAGCCTCAGCGTGAACGTCGAGCCCTTCGGTATCTCCTTCAGCATCTTCGCCACCTCGAAGTGCCGCCTGCCGACGAGGCTGGTCGAGTCGATCCTCTCGATGTGGTCGCCCACCTCGATCACCTTTATCCTGTCGATCACGGAACCCTCCTTTATCCGCTTTATGAAGGCGTAACCGGCGCCGTTGTCGGTGATCGTCAGACCCAGCGCGTCGTCCGTTTTCACCAGCTCGATCTCTTTCGGCCGGCCTGCGTAGAAAATGTATATCACAATTATTTTCCTTATTTCCCTTTCATCACGACTTGTGCCTTCTAATCTCACGAACGTATATAACAGCGACCTTTCTTATGCGCGAATATGAAGTCGCCCACGCCAATTTGTCCGCCTAACAGCTCCGTCATGTCCACTTTGTGCGTGTTGAGCGTACAAAAGAGAATCTGGAACATCGAACTCTCGCTTAATTGTCGACGTTGCTCGCTTAACTCCTCCATCATCTTTACTCTACAATTTTACAATCGTTTCAGTTCTTTACGTGTATCGAAGTTACTTTTACTGAAATGCCCCATCTAAGACGTCTCGCTCTAGCTTTGATGAAAATCAAATAAGACTCAGTGATTTAGCATACACATTCGTCGTTGGGGGAAACGTTAATAAAAAATAAAAACCAAAGATAATTCGGTCGTGAAAGGGTTAAATTACAGACTTGTTTTCCCAGTTCTCTTCCATTGTAAAGCGCGGTGCTGCGATGGCTCGTCTAGCCGAGAGATCCGCGAGAGGAGCTAGACCCCCCATCAAGCGACCCATAACGAATCGACGAGCGACCCGGTTATATCGCGGCGGCCGCGTTTACACGACGAATTACACGTGGCTCTCTCTCTCTTTCCTCGTTCTCTCTCGCCTGCCGAGACATATCCGCCAGGTCGACGAGAGAGAGGCCACGGTCCGTGACCGGCGCTTCCTGCGTCCGGTGTCGTTTCTCCCTACGTGGGACGCCTCGCCGCTATAATGGAAACGCCGAGCCGGCAACCGCATCGCGCTCCATCACCACCGGCTCCGACAACTTGGCCCCGCGTTACCGATTTCTCCGAATGTGAACGAGGACTCCGCGTCATTTTATCCGCGTTCCCGAGCGCGGCAGAAACATTCGTGCCACCTGCGCGCCGGCCGGACGTTTCGCGATGCCCGAATTCGCTTCCAAAGGAAGCGAACCAGGGGGTCAACTCTGTATCTTGCAACATATAGTGAAAATGCTAGAAGTGAGCGGCTTTGTCCCTTCCTAAGGGGACAGTTAGAAAGAGACAGAGCTACACTTTTAGCATTTTCACTCACGCAAGAATTGACCCCCTAGGGGGGGGGGGGGGGTCGACAATGCAAGTTGCAACCGTTGCATATGCAATCTACCACTGCTACAAAGAAGCAGCTTAACGAATTAACAACAAGGTCGAGTCCTTAAATTTTCACCATCGAATCCTCTCTTTCCCCGAGAAGAAAGTCCTAACACGAGCCGGCATCAGGACAAAGCGGGGCCGTTTGATTCAATTAAAAAAATCAGATAAACAATTTTCAAGATGGAAAGAAATTTTTCAATTCTCAGGGTGGGAAGGGGCTTTTTAAGTCATGAAGCTTTCTGACTTAGAGGCGCTTTATCCGAATTTTTCTTTAACTGATTGTAAGTCAAATGGCCTTCTATATCGCAGTCTTCACGCTCACCTCCTCCGCGGGCAGGTCGTAGCGCTCGGCGATCTTCTGGTACAGCTCTCGGACATTGCTGAAGTCCGATATCAGCCCCGTGGGGCTGCCGTGAGCCAGCTGGCAGTGGAAGACCAGCGACGACGGCCTCGGCTCCCGAGCTGGCGGTCTCGTCTGCTCGTGCTGAAGAGGAGGCGCGCCATTGCCGGAACGGCTACCGGTACCGTTACCGCTCGCGCCGCTGTCATGACCGTTGTCACTGCCAACCTGATGATGATGATGTTGCTGCTGCTGCTGCTGCTGCTGCTGATGGTTGCCTCGATACTGCACGCCGTTCGCAGCTTTCTCCATTACCGGCGATCTCGTCGTGGCCCGCGCCTTGAACAGCGGCATCCTCGAGTCTGCGCGAATAGATTACAAAGGGAGGCCCCGTTATGCACAATCCGGCGTGACGACGCTCTCCTGGCTTCTTCTCATCGTGAAATTGAGTTATCGCGAGCGACGGGTTTGATAAGACGAAGAGACGGCGCGATCCTGATCGTCTCTCGATTCTCTCGCGCTTTTATCTCGACGCGGAATCGACAGTGATCCTGACAGTGATTTATGATACCGTAAGCGTACGCTTGACGGACTTTTAGCGCGTATAAAGTCTGTCGAATACTCGCGGACAAAATAGAAATTGTAAAATAAGATTCTAAATTAATTTTATTTACAATGTAATGGACTAAGATTTTTCTAGCGTCGATCGATAGAATTATTGTCTCCACCGGCGCCATAAACTCCGCGGAAACCCAGCAATTTTTTCCCAAATCCCGAAGACCGGAGTGTCTTTTTAACCGACGCAACTAAGACGTCGTTGAAAGGAATTGCGAAGCACGAGATGCGCCTGAGCTTCATCATTTTTGCAACCGCATCGGCCTCTTCTTCTCTTCTTCTAGACTTGGATTTCTGGACTTGCGTTTATTAGAAGTAATCTTCTTTTCTAGGCTATTAATCTTGGTTCTGATTGCACGATATTGTTCTGATACGTTGTCCCTAGAGTATGCTGGTCTCATTTTGTATACATTTATTGTAGAATTATTGTATCGAGCAAATATTGTCGTCAAGTGTACCAAAAATTAGTCAAATTTTTTATTTTTCTTCGTTCTTGATATAAAGTCGACCAGCATAGTCTAGATTTTGCTGCGTACTTTGATTCTGTAAAAGAGTTTTGCGTTTCTTAAAAAATTACTTCCGACAAAGAATGTCGACAAAACAGACGGCTTGAGGGTCCCCTTAATGAGAAGCGCAGCGGGAGAAAACGAGGGATCGCGGATAAGAATTCGAATCGGCGTTGTGTTCCCCGCGTTCGGAGCAATAATCCCGCGTGCGCGCGTTCGATTCTCCGGTGTCAACGGTGCGAATTAGATAAGAGAAATGAGAACCACGGTGGAGCGGGAGGCAACACGGTAATTGCAATCTCGCGATTCGCCGGTCGCGTAGGGAGATAAAGGCAGGGTATCGGCCGCATGTTACGTCGTCGAGAGTATCTATTACGTTACTCGCGCACGGTTCTCCTCCTGTTATCTCCGACTTTGTGCGAAATCACTCCGACGAGCGTTGCGGTCACGCACGGAACAGCGGGCGTATTAATTAAGCACGCGCGCCTCTCGGGCGCGACGTCTCGTTATCTTCCTCCGGAGAGACCGCGACGTCTGTCTCCCACTCTTTCTCAAAGGAACCTCGAAACGGTTTCTACGTGACGTAATGAAAGCTTCTTTTTTAAGCCAAACCCGAGCGAGCCTTCCTCGTCAGACGTCTCGTTTGCAATTCGCGCCACCAAGACACCGTAAATTGCAGGCGGTCTCCTTTCATACGCCACTCATTGTTCGCCTGAATCATCTTCCTTCGATGAGGGGAGTATTTTGTGTGTCTTTTCGTTTGTCGTTGCGTGGCTTAATTTCGGCCATGTCCACCGGAGATTTTACAGACTCCTCTCGCAACACTTTTTAATTTAAACTTGAATCGACGTTAGCGACAGATTGCATTATTTCTTTTTTGTAATCAGTGTTCGGTATTAAAAGATCACGAAACTGATATAAATATGTGATTGCGTCGCATATTATGTCACGCCTGACGGAATGTCTGAGAATATCCATCGGATATGCGACAGTTTTAAAGCCTAACTTAATCGCGCGCGATAACAACTTCACGATCGCGGGTTGAAACCCGGGCATCAAAGGTAATGTTATTTGTCGTCGTTTTAACGACGAAATGTTGTCAGAAACCTTTTGACGTCAAAATGTGGACAAGTAACATCTGCAGCTGCCTGAGAATTTGAGATTAACTCAGCTAGCGAGCTAACGTTGCTTGTCGTCATTTCAGCGTCGTTTAAAGCGACGACAAGTAACGTCAGCTGTCTGAGAATTTGAGATAAACTCAGCTAACGAGATAACATTGCTTGTCGTAATTTTAACTTCGGTTAAAGTTACGACAAATAACGTCTGAGAATTTGAAATTAACTCTTCTAGCGAACTGACATTGTTATTTCAGCGTCGTTAAGTAACGTCAGCTATGTCTGAGAAATTGAGATAAGCTCTGATATAAATATGTGATTGCGAGCTAACTAACATTGTTTGTCGTCATTTCAACGTCGTTTAAAGCAACGACAAGTAACGTCAGCTGTCTGAGAATTTGAGATAAA